GATCAGTAGTTTTCTACTGACCGATGGTATTTCCTCTAATGCTGTCTTTAGTAAACAACATATGGTGGCTGCCGCCACCACAGTGTACTGGCACTTACAGTAATGCTGTCTTTAGTAAACAACATATGGTGGCTGGCGCCACATAAAGCGCGCGAAGACGGACTCATAAAATGGATGTGGTGACTGTGAAGTGTGGAGGAAGAGCCAGGACTGCGTCCAGCTCAAACCTGAGGCTCAGGTGCCTCCAGGACGCGATGCTCGCGTCCAGAAGCCGGACTTCGACGGACCATTGGCTGGCGAGCCGCCAGCCCCATCCTACTGCTAATCCTACCAATATATGTTACCGGGGTTTTTCCGTGTGCTGCTACACACTCGACAACTTGCGCCGTCAAGAGCAAGCAGCAGCACTCGGTTTTCTCCCCTGCTGGACTTTCAGTCCCTGCAACTTACTGTTGTTACGACTACTTCCTTCATCGCAATGGTCACCACTCGGCGTAGCCGAGGAGCGACCATCACTCAGGTTATGAGCCCAAGAAGGAGAGCTGGAAGCCCAGTCCGGAGTACGCAGAGCTCGCGCGCGTCCGACGAGTTGCAGTTACCTGCAAGAGCAGACGAGACAACGTCAGACGAGACACATGCGACGTCACAAGCGTCATCAACCCGAGTTGAGCAACAACTCGAGCTCTTATTGGCCCAATTCGGTACCGTTATGACTACACTGACCAATCAGCAGCAAGTGCAGAACATTCCAGTGGAAGCATCTACCCGACGCCCACAAAGGCAGCTCATTCAAGAATTCTCAGCGGCTCGAGCACAACCGCAGCGAGTGCCGACGCCGTACGGGCCCCGCCGAGGAAACCCAAGCACAGAGGAACTTACCGCCGACGCCAGCACGCGTCAGAGCGAGCCGCCAAGCAACCCAAGAACGTCCGAGGCTGCAGCGCAGCCAGTCCAGACCGAGGCCGGGACCGACTCCGCTACGGACGAACCCATGATTGGAGACCACAGATGCACGCGGTGCATGAACCAGAGCGGACACGTGCAGTTGAACGCAAGACTTACCGATACCAACTACCAGACGTGGCGCGTCGAGATTTGCTCCATTCTCGACGTCGCACACCTCTTGGACCCCATCATGGAGCGCGAAACGATGGCAGACCAACGTAACGAAGGACAGCGCGGCTGTTTCAAGCAACGACTGCGTGTTGCTCAACGTGAACTTACGATGGGACTTAGTCAAGAGCTACAGATGCGATTTACAGTGGTTATTCAACGTGCTGATCCTATCCTACTGTGGCGAACACTG